CTTACTAGTAGTAACAAGAAGCTAGTAGAAACAAGTGCCACGCTAGTGAGTTGCACTATGGATGCAATCTGTAGTTTGCAACGTCAAGTGGATGGCAACGTTCTAAAGTCGATGGAGGTTCGCAGCCCCAAGGCCCATGTGCATCAAAAACCCTATTTGTGGAAGAAAACGGACACAAAACCAGCACAACTCTGTGGAGGGCGTTTTGAGTTTTTTGTGAAAAGTAGCAGATTCTGCGGAGTCCTCAACGACACTGCTAGTAAAAAAACAAACAAAAAGGTTGTTTTCTGCAAACAAGAGAGTTGATGGAATGATGGCTTGGCATATCTCGATAGAAAACTACTTTCAATTCAATCCATCTCTGCAGGTCTGACCTAGACTGATGGGATTGGCAGAACCTCGTTCGGAACTTCCCGATTCTTGGTTCTCGGTTCGGAACTTCTCGGGATAAGCAGAATAAATGGCATCAAACATCGAAAACGTCGGAAAGCACTCAGCATGAGAACCAGCAAGCCAGTTGGTATCTCAACCAACCAGCCCACGCCCTACTACCTGGTCATGTTGTCATTCTGCTCAAACTATTTTAAAAAGTATTCCAGCAAGGGAGGTGACCCCTGGAATGATTACCCAGATTGCTACTCTATGCCTTTGACATCCTTAAGTCCAGCTGCAAAGGCAGAGCCTCCCTCGGAAAACTGGATCATCACTGGACGGTTGAGTTCCTGGGGGACAAAGGAAATACATGGTGCGAGCCAAATGACGAGGCAAAAGGCCGTGGGAATCCCATGAAGACGCTAAGTTTTGGTATTTAAATGGACAGCCATGCTGACAGCATATGCATATGAACATCAGGAATCAGGCATCCCGTCCTTGCCCGCTTCGAGGACAGAGTTGATGGTGCTGGAGCCTCGTTCAGTGGCCGGCATACGCAGGATTTGTACATAAGCTATCACAAGCACCAAAGAACACCAAAGATCCTTCACTCACTGGTCACCAGAGCAGTTCAGCTCTAAGCTGGTGCAGTTGAAAGCTGGGATGGCATACTTGTGTTCCTGTGAATGAGCGAAGAGACATTACAAATCCCCTTTCCAATGTCCTTAATGTGATCCAGAGCTCTCCTTGGCATGCTGCAAGAGAGCCCAAGCCAGGTCTCCGGTGACCACGCCAGCCTTTGTTTGAGCTTGCCACTGCACAATAGGTGGGTGGAAACTCGTGGCCGAGCCTTCATGCCCGGAATCTCCCAGAACCTTAGCAGCTGCCAATGGACCTTCTTGCCCACTGAATATCAAGGTATATCAAGCATACGCTGCAGGGCTTCACAAGTCAGCTTCGACATCTGGAGTCTTCAGCCAGGCGGCGACATGTTGCGCCACCCAGGATTTTGATAAGGGCACGTGCTTTCTCCTTCAGAAAATCGCTGCGTCACTCGCGTGCTCTGTGGAGCCTTGGGCAGCAATTGCTTGCAAGAACAACGCTCAGCAGAAGAGTTGGCTATTGCAACAGTAGAGTAACACTGCAACTAAGGTTTGACTGAACCGCTGCTTGCCTTCACAATCAGATGCAAGCACAACCGCACGTAGGCAAGGCAAAGCAAGTAAAAGGAGCTCCTTTGACATTTGCAGCACGTGTTCGGGAGAGGTGCAAATCTTGGCAGGAGAAAGCGGATTCGGCAGCAGCATCCGCCACCTACACGTCCCTTCAATCAGAGGGCCCTCTTCCATCCTGACCTCCGACTCAAATTGAAAAAGCATGACCCCCTGCAAGTCCCAGATCCGTATGCATGAGCGGTGTTGATAAGTTTACACCTGCTCCTTGTTCGGTCCTACATTCACATGTGTATTACACCATGCTAATTCATTCTCTGTTGACACCGTGTACGCTCAAATGTCGTTGTAGTCACATTTTGCGTCTTACCAAGTCTAGCATGTTTCTAACCCTCTGGAAACCCCCGCAAATTTTGTGGACGTATTGTGAAAGACACTGTAACAAAATGGCGATGGGAAGGAAAAAATGAACGTGACTGGTGGTATTTCACACAATCTCGGGAAGCACCCAATTTCCCCCGTAAGGCATGGGGACCATGATCCGTAGTGTGGAATTGTGCGCATGGTAGCATCAAAGCAAGGGGTGATGGGGCATGAGGGCAGAAAAGAATCAAACAATCTACGGATGAGGAATGTGGAAACATATTGGTCGATGGTTGTTTGTCAATCTGATGTGCTAAACACAAGACTGAACTCTGAACGGAATGAACTCGGACTGCAAAGTCGGTCCCACAAATAAAGAAATACATTCACACCAGAATGTGCAAGTGCTGGCATTGCACTGCGTGAATGTTGAAGCGCAAAACAATCTCACAATGCAATAATCCAAGACAATCACTACGTTCCAAAATTCACCCAGTTTGTTTTGCCTAGGGTTAGACATCGGGAATCGGGAACACGAACATCCACACAATGCTTGAAATTTTGTGGCAATCACTTTTTGACCTTTGAAGTGCAGATTTCGTGGCAGGCGCAACTTTGCGCAGCTTGATGCGCAGGTATCGTGGCAAGCGCAGCGCTTTGTGGACCTGAAACAATGCGCCGTCTATTCTATGCGCTCTTTGGGCCTACGGTGTGTGTATACCTGTGCCCCACCTGACATGTACATCCCATGACTCCACTGGAAACTTGTCGAAATCTGACACGGCCCCTATGGCAGATGGGACACAGTGTGCACATGGCCTGATGATCCTCGTGGCACGGTCTTTAAAGGCATGCATTGACTAAGGTGACTGCGCCGAACTGCGTGAACTTTGGTCGCCGAACCTTTGCTGAATGCTGTTCGCTTCAATACATTGGCACGAATGAAGACGGTGCCAACAAGCTTGCCCCCAGGGCTACACTTGCCCCATGCACTATCCCACATTGAGCTTGCCCAAACCTCCAGTGGACCCAGCCCTCCACCAGGGTCATCGTCAACTCGAGGAATACCGGAAGGAAGTATCTTTTAAACAAATTCTGCTAAGACAATTCATATAATTTCAATTACCAAA